AGGGCACAGGAGCAGCTGCTCTGGGCAGGGGCAGCGGGAGCTCCGCGCCCACCCGTGACCCTCGGGGTGCTGCCCAAGTGAGGGTGAGAAGAGGTGAATTACCGCAAATTCGGAATAGGTGCTGGCAACAGAATTAATGCTGGTGGTTTTCTGGGCAGGGGCTTTGGGGGTGGACCCACCGCTCAGGGCGGTTGTGTTCTTCCCCGGAACGTTCTCCTTGTTCTGCTCCTTGTGCCCTGGCCGAGGAGGTTTTGTGGTCACGCGGCTGGGGGTCCGAGCAGCCTGGCCAGAGCGTGGGAACAGGATCCCGTTAGACCGGACGCAAGAGGAACTTGAAAGCAAAGCCAGGGCTCTGCACCGGCCTCCAGCAGCCCCTGTGTGGGTTGGGGCCCAGTTCCCATCCACCGCACACGCGGTGCCCCGGGTTGACGGGGCCCAGAGGAGCAGACACAGAGCACGAGGCAGAGCGGGAGGGAGGGTTGCTCAATTCTGCCCTCCCTTCCTCCCCACGGTGCTGCTCTCAAAGACCCTGCGAGCAGCTGGGCCCCGCGGGCTCCTGGCACGCGGTAGAGGCCGAGTTTTGCGGGTGCGAGGAAGGGCAGAGCCGCGGCCGCCCCGCTGCCCAGCCCGCTCCTCACCTTCCCTGCAGACGGCGGCAGCCAGGACGGGGGCGAGCGGTAGAGCGTCCTCCCCAGAACGGAGCGGCCCGTGCTGTTGGGGGCAGGGCCGGCGATGGTTGAGCTGAGGAGACAACAGAACACGAGTGCCGTGGGAGGGAAGGCCCCGGGCACGCGCGGCAAGGACACCGAGGTGACGCGTGCGCCGTGGGGGGCCTCCGGGGCTGCGAGCACCAGCCCAGGTGTCCCACAGAGACCAGAAGTGCCATAGGGCAGCTCCTGCCCTGCTTCCATCACGCTGCCACCACAGCCCCAAACCCTCCCTGCACGTCTGCGTGCAGGACTGAGGGCAAAGCGACACCAGGAAACGCTCTAGGTGCTGTTTTCCCCCTCCAGAAGGGCCCAGGCCAAGCACTGAGGGCTCAGCCTGTTCCCACGCTGCTCAATACAGACAATTTACAATACAATTTACAATACAATTTACAATACAATTTACCTTCCTTACTTTGCCAGATGGGTGGGGGCCAAGTAGCCGACGCTTGATGGGTGTCCGCGGGGTGCTCCCGTACAGCATCTCCGTCTCAGTCTGGCGGCTTTTCTTGAGGTGCTGCACGGGAGAACGGCGTCACGACCCGGGCACACGACGAGCCCAGAGCCCTGCACGCGGCGGCGGCGCCTGCGTGCCCCACGCGCCGGGAGGCCTCCACGGTACAGAGTACACCCGGCCCCCTGCAAATCTGCAGGTATCCAGAACCTAAACACAGTCCTGGCACAGCTGGGGCCAAGAAAAGGGCTCAGCACAACATCAACTAACCATGTTGGTTAAGAAGGGCTTTGCACGGAGCTGTCTATGGGCAGGGAGTGAGAAGATGCTGCGCTCCATGCGGAGCTCTGGCAGCAGCTGGTAGGGAACCTCCACAGGCGCTTCTCCAGGCTGAGGCCTGGGCCACCTTCTGCCCCAGGGTCAAGGCACAGCAGGCGGCTTCGCACTCACCCTCTCCTGCTTCTCCTTCTCTTTCTCCAGGTGGTAGCACTGCCACTGCTCTGCCACGTACTCCGTGAACTGCTGCCCCTTCACCAGGAAGGCCTCCCCACGCTCCTGCTCGTAGGCTTGGACCCTGCTCTCCAGCTCCTCCTGCAGCTGGAGCGGGACACAAGGGCAGCATGAAACACGACTGCTGGCCCTGGCCCTCAGAGGCCAGCGCCTGCCCAGGAGCATCTCCACGGCCCGCGGATCCGAGGGCTGCGCTCCTGCCAGCGCTGGGGATTCCTACCTGGAAGCACAGCTTCCCGCTCCAGGGCTGAGCCTACCTTGGCAAGAGTCTTCTGCAGCTTCGCCCGCTGCTTCTCCTCTTTCAGCAGTGCCCCTCCACGGTTGGCAAAGCGGCTGGGGTCGGTGGTTTTCCTCTGCGGACAGAACGGGGGTGAGGAGAGCCCGGCTGGGCGCCCCGGGGCACGGCGAGGTCACCGGACCACGCGTGGCACCCCACATGTCCCCAAGACCCCGCAAACAGGCCCCTGCCCAGGCGATACCTCCAGCTCCAGAAACCGCTGCCAGTTCTCCTCCCATTTTTGGGCAGCTTCAAAGAGATCCTTGTGCGTCTCGTAGTAACGCTTCACCCTGCCCACCTCGGCGTCGTGGAGCTGGAGCAGGGTCTCCGTGTAGTCCTCTGGAGAGGCACAACAGCCGGTTTACAGAGGGGCAGCCGGCGTTCCCAGCCCGCTCCGGGCGGCGGGGCGGCCCCCTCCCGCCGCTCGGCTGCTCACGGACAACCACAGCGAACAAGAGCCCCAGCACATACCTTCATAGTAGGGCCTGAAGGCGTCTCGCTGCTCCTGGCTATAGAAACATTTGTCCCAGCAGTCAACCAGCTCTGCTCTGGTTGCCTGAATCACCTCCTTCAGGTTCTGCAGCTTCAGCTCCTCTAGACGATCCACTTCCAGCTGCAGCTGCCAACCAGAACGCAGCACAGATTCAGAGCAGGCAGCACGAGCATAAGCCGTGCAGAACAGAATTTACCTGCTGCAGAAAGAACTTTCTAACATGAGCCACTCGCCAGTACAACGCCCTGCTCCTCTGCCCAGGAGGGCAGGATTTGGCCCACTCACATTACACCTCACTGTGGGAGCTACTGCACCACCCTAGCTGAGGAAACAGAAATACGAGCCCAGAGCTGCTGCTCCCCGCCAGCCCTCCAAAGGGCACAGGATTCCTTACGGCTCTCCTGGTTTTGGCTCTCGATCCGGTCATGTGCACTGCAGAAGCTTCTCTCTCCTCTGCAGGAACCTGCAGCCTTTCCCACAGCAGCATGATCCTGGAGCGCAGATCCACGCACAGGGCTTCGTTCAGGGATCTTTGGCCTTCCAGCTGCAGCACAGGGTCAGCATAAGCACAGTCTGTCCCGAGGGGCACGGGTAGGCCCCTTTTCTCCACTGTGACCAGCAAAGCTGCTCGCTCATGTGCCAGGATCCCCTTCCAAGCCACTACACGCACGGGCTTGTTCAAGACGGAGCAACTAATGCTTTGCACTCTGCTGTAGGTGCCACCAGGATACCCTGGCAGCCACCACAGCCCTGGCAGTCAGGGCAGGCACTGCCGGCTCGGAGCCCCACGTACCTGCTGCAGCAGGTCCTGAAGGGCAGCAAGGTTCTCTGTGGACAGACAGAAATCAGCTTCGTCCTTGCACACCACATCCTGCTCAAAGCTGCTGTTTGGAGTGTGGTCCAGCTCTTCCATGCACAGGATGATCTGGCGCTTGATGCTGACAAACACTTCTTGTCTTCGCTCCTAGAGGTGACGAGTGCCATTAGAAGCCAGAGACGACCTTGCCGTGTCACCTTCAAGGACTTCCTCAGCACCTCTTCACCTACCTTCTCAGCAGCCAGAGAGGCCAAGTGGTTCCTGTAGCACTCCAGCTTCTCCAGGCTGGGCACGGCATTGCTGTCGATGCAGAATGGAGTCGTGCAGAGAGTTCTGCACAAGTCTTGGTCTTGTTCTTGCAGGGCATTCAACTCCCGCTTCCTGTCCTCCATCTCCTCGAGCAGAGCTTCCGCGCGGGTACGCAGACACTTCTCCAGCTGCAGGAGGGTGCTCTCCTCCTCCACCTACAGGAGTCCGGACATCAGCACTCTGTCTCTCGCAGACTCAACACACACACAGCTAGGACATCTTGGCTAAGGCCTGAGACACAAGCCCTGCTTTTGAACCATCTGCTCCCAAGGCAAGCGCAAGCCCAGCAAGGACACACGAGGGATGCTGTGGGATACCCGACCTCCCGACCACCTCCCCGCACCGCCGCGCACAAACGCACACGAGCTTTGACTGGCCCCAGCTTCAGGAACAGGAATTTGCTCTGTGAGCTCAGGCCTCGCCGAGCTGCCTGGTCAGAGATTGCAGCCCGCAAGACCCCAGGAGGGAGGCGCCGCCCCACCTGGATGGGCTCCAGCTGGAGCTCCCGGCAGAGGGTGTCGGCGGCCTTTCGGTGCGTGGCAATGCTATTCAGGAGCCGCTCCTTCAGCTCCTCCTCCTCCTTGATCATCTGCTCCAGGAGGCCCTGCGGCACAGGGGAGGACGCGGGGATGCGGCACACGCAGCAGGGCACGGGTGAAGAACGACCCACGAGAGCCGAGAGGGGACCGAGGGAGCGCCCAGGAGAGCTATGACGCGGCCCAGGGCGGGCCGGGGGCGCAGGGACACGACCGGGAGCTGCTAAAGGCCCTGCTAGGCCGCAGCGCCCTGTTCCCAGCGGGGGGCACGGGGCTCCCCCGGCGCGGCCGCCCACCTGCAAGTGCATCCTGACCGCGTTGGTGCGCTCCAAGCGCTGCTCCTCCAGGATGCCGATCTCCTCCCAGATGTCGCGCAGCATCTCCAGGGCGCGGGTCAGGCACAGCACGCACTCGGACGCCAGCGCCTCGCTGCGGGCACGGGACGCGGCGGCATCGGCGGCGGGGCCCCTTT